GGCACCAGGATTCGGTTTGGTTTTCTGGCAAGAAAATCCGCGTACTTGGTACGCCACATCATGCTTAAAATCGTATCAAGTAAGCAGATACGATCACTCCTAAACCATTGCGGATGTTCCATGAATCAAGGTCTCAGCACGTTGATGACGGAATCCATGTGCTACATAGCCAAATAGGGAAGTCAATAAAGTCAGAAACTAAAGTCAAGAAACTGAAGTCTACTCGAGAAGAAGTCTACTCGAGAAGAAGTATACTCGAGAGAAGTCTACTTGAGAAGAAGTCTACTCGAGAAGACGTCTACTCTAGAAGAAGTATACTCGAGAAGAAGTCTACTCGAGAGAAGTATACTCGAGAAGAAGCCTACTCGAGAAGACGTCTACTCGAGAAGAAGTCTACTCGAGAAGAAGTCTACTCGAGAAGAAATCTACTCGAGAGAAAGATTAACCGTATCTGCGAGCCATTGCTGTGGCGTCCTCAGCAGCCACCACCAGTGGTTTACTGGAAACTTCTTAGCATGTCTACTCAGCCAATTTCAGCAGACACCATTAGTACATAATCATCAGACTGTAATAAGTACACAATCACAAGACTCACAACTTGTTCCATACAGAGAACTTACAGAAGACGTTTGAAAAACTCAGTTACAGCTTTATTCTTTGCTTCATCAATGAGAGCAAAAGGATCATATCCAGCGCCTAGTCTAGACAACCTCCTTGTCTTCTCGGAGGTCTTGGCTCGTGACAAAATTTGTGCCACGACCTTCTTTGACTGCTGTTTCCTTAACTGCACCTCCAAATCCTCTTTCGTTTGTTTCCGCGACTCGACAAATACGACACTATCCACGTCCTCGTGGTTGACACTCTCACATGGTTTTTTCTGAATAATGTGTTATACATGTTACTGAGAAGAACAATATGGCAGAATAAAAATTTATTAAAGTAAACAAAACATAAGTCAGAGTACAGGGTACAAGTACAAATTTTTGAAAACATACAAAAATACAAAATCATCTAGTTCTTTTTGGAAGACCTTGCTCTTGCCCTAGTAAGCCTAACGATTGGACTCAACGAAGGAATAGCAGGCTTATCAGTCTTAGAAGTCTTAGAAGTCTTTTTAGTAGATTTGAGAGAGGGATCGGTACTAACCCGACCATCGTTTGACTTAACATGATCCTCCTCATTTGCCTTTTTCATCTTGGCAACAATATGCTCCACGACAACAACCTTTTCAGAGAGGAGGTCAAAATTCTTATCGAACGCCTCAAACCCAGCCTTCATTTCCCCAGACAATGTTTTGCAACATTCTGAGAAATGTTGTTTCATCGCCTCGGCCAGACTCTTCAAACACTCATCTTTTATGGCAGAAGGAGGCATTGGACAAGTCTTCAGTCTTTCATCGTCTGGTTCAACACGGCTTTCATCATCTTAACCCCTTTGGACCGCCAATCACTAGGCTTCCACTTCCAACCACCACCACCAAACTCCCCAAACATGGCTTTGACAATGTTCTCGATAAGGACATCATCTACCTCATCATCCCAGGTAGGGAACATTTCCTCCCTTTCCTTGACACAAAAGTTGTTGATGCTAACCTGCAAACAATTGGAATATATATGTTACAGAGGTCTACGCAAATATTATACTCGAGAGAAGTCTACTCGAGAATAAGTCTACTCGAGAGAAGTCTACTCGAGACGAGAGAAGACTACTCGAGATGAGGAGAAGTCTACTCGAGACGAGAAGAAGTCAACTCGAGACGAGAAGAAATCTACTCGAGAGAAGTCTACTCGAGAAGCAAATATAGTTTGGGATTACCTGTTTCAGCATAGCTTCTTTGATGTATTTTTGTCCTCGGCAACCGTTGAAAGCCAGCACCGGTAGAGTTGGGTTGTCGGGAAGGGGATTTCCGTAATGCCTCCCGAAATCTGGCATAACATAATACGCCCAAACTTGGAGCACTTCGGCAAACCAATAAAGAATAACAATCTTCGTCAAATCAGCTCTTTTGACAGACTCTATGAGGGTCTTGAAAGCCACTCTTCCCCACGGGTAATTTGCAAATGCCTCGACATCCATGACTAGCTTGGCATAGCTCAACCGTGTGGGTGAATCCATCTTCCTTGCCTTGATAAATCCAGCGAAGATGGATAAATATCCTAACCTAAGCTTCTCATCCCTTGTCCACTCCCCAGCATGCTTACATGCTTCAGTAAGTTCGTCAACGGTGGGGCCAACATTTATACTAACGCCAAGCTTCTCCTAGAAACATTTCATCTCAGGAGTAACTTCTGCTTCCTCCAGTTCCTCAACATCCTCGTAGTTGAGACTGGTGAGTTGTTCAAACTCATTGAGTGAAAACCGCAGTGGAGTTGCATTTATGAGACTCCATATCTCATAGCTGAAAACCGAGTATAAACTACACCACCCTCGACGCCCAGCCAAAATTCAGTGTTTAAAACTTTAGAAAAACACCAAGCCTTGATTCCAAAAGCTCTTCCCATATATCTGCTTCCAGTACTGCTTCCAATGCAGGAAACAGCTTCCTACTATTGCTGTAGTAGGCTATACTTTTCCCAGGTTGGGGCTCCTCGTCCTTTGTGAATAATCTCCTTGGAAACTTGTGCTGCTTCTCCATCCTGCAAAACCAAAGATGACATAAATATGTAAGAAATATATAATTATTAGCAAATGGCAGAAGTCTAGTTCAGAAAGAAGTCTACTTTTTTCCGAGAAGTCTACTCGAGAAGAAGTTTACTCGAGAAGAAGTCTACTTAGGGAAGTCTACTCGAAAGAGGCTACTCGAAAGAGAAGTCTACTCAAGATGAAGTCTACTCGAACGCGAAGTCTACTCGAAAGAGAAGTCTACTCGAAAATGAAGTCTACTCGAAAGAGAAGTCTGCTCGAAAGAGAAGTCTACTCTAGAGAAGTCTGCTGATACGAATTCTAGAATAAATCACTAGTTACATAAATTACCTTTGCGAACATTGAAATCCGGCGTAGACAACCAACAGCGTCGTCGACATCTGTAAATCCAAACAAAAAATTTCCAAATTAGCGGCGACAATGATATCTAGGGCAAAAAATTGAATCTAACAGATGCCGGACAAAGAGAAATGAGGACAGGATTACCAGCAGTAACGAGGCGACGAGGCGGCGATGAAAAGAGATGAACGAAAATGATTAAGGTCTATATATAAATAAAGAGATATACAGAAGTGAGAGATCTGAGAGAGGAGAACAGAGATTAGCTTCGTTGACAATTTACAAACGGTGGTGATAAGTTGAAGCAGCGGCGGCGGCGACGACGGTAGGAACGGCGACAGAAATGGCGAAAAAAATCGTCCAAACGCTGGTTACGAGTCAAGAGAAACTAGGGTTTGTGGAATGGGTTACTTTCTGGTAAAAATGAATATATAAGCCGGTTAAAAATGGGTTCGTAAGATTATTCGGTTCAGTCGGAGTGTTTTTATTTTACTCGGACATAACCGGTCAAAAAAGTTTACTTTTGATTCTAATTCGGTAAGAGAAGTCTACTCGATAGAAGTCTACTTTGGTCCTAGACGTCTACTCAAGAGAAGTCTACTTCGGTCCGAGAAGTCTACCTAACCCTAAACCCTAAATCAAACTTTTTTAATTAAAACTTATATGAAAACATTAATTTACTTACCATATTGACAACTCATAGTTATAATAACAAATATATGAACTATGATTCATTAACTGAACTATAAACTATGATTCATATAGAATTTGTGCAAGCCCTAAGAATTACACTCTTATACCCTAAACCATAAACTTCAACCCTAACCCTTTTGATTTGTATACTTATGAAACTTATAAATTGATTCATTTTCATGAATTTTTTTTATATAGATGCTAAATGTATATGTTTTATTTGTATATATAATGTTTTTACCAAATTATTTTTCAGAATTTTTATAATTAATGGTAAAGAAATTATAAGAAAGTAGACTTCTCCAAGAAGTCTACTCGTGAGAAGTCTACTTTAGAATCCGAGAAGTCTACTTAGTATTGATTTCTAACCTAGTTTATCTATGATGATTTAAATTGATTATTTTGTGTCAAATTTTATTTTTAGTAGGTGTAAAAAGTATATGTTTTTGTTATGTTGATAATATTTAAACAAATTATTTTTTCATAATTTTTTTTTAATTAATGGTAAAGACATTATTAGAGAGTAGACTTCTCGGAGAAGTCTACGAGAGAACCCGAGAAGTTTACTTAGTATTCATTTCTAACCTAGTTTATCTGTGATGATTTAAATTGGTTATTTTGTGTCAAATTTTATTTTTAATAGGTGTAAAATATATATATTTATGTTATGGATCTAATCTTTCTATCAAAATATTTTTCATGATTTTTAAAATTAATTGTAAACAAATTATTATAAAGTAGACTTCTCGGATATAAAACAGTAATTGTGGCGGGCATTTTTTTGTTTGGTCAGAAGGGTTAATGTTGTAATTTCACTATTTCTGTGAGTTATTTTTTGTCAAACATGTAATAGGGGGTCTAGTTTTGCATTTGAACTCAAGTTTTGAGTCATATTCAGCAATTCCCCCGATTTTTAAAATATTAAATGCAATTAAAAATAAATAATTAAATATGTTTTTGTTTGATTTTAAGAAAGATTGTGTTTGGTTGCAAGAATAAATTATTTAAGATTTTAATCATTATTTAAATTTAAAAAATTCAAAATTATGAAATAATGACACATAAACTACTATGCTTCCTGTTTAATATGTTAGATTGTGTTTTTGGAAGATTGTATTTTTTACTTCTTTTTAATAATTATACAAAATTATTTTTATGTTTTCATTAGTTTATTTTATGTATTTTTATAAACAATAATTTTATATAACTTTCTATTTAATTTTAATATACATTAAGGGTTTTATTCCTAGTTGCCCAATGTAAGAAAAAATTAATTAAATCGACAAAATTAAAAATAAAATAAAACAAAGACAGACCTCTCGTCACGGGGAGTGAGAATTCGTGTCCTCTTGTACTTCCGTCTTCTGGCGGGAAGCTTCTCTACGAGGGACTCAGAAAGAGACGACGAAAGCCCTAAAAAAAAGAAAGGTGAAACACTTTGTGTGGTGACAGTGACCAGAAAGCACGGCCAGGACGAGGAGGATGCACTGGATTGCCACCAGAAACGCCGTCGTTTCATTCCCCCGATGGCGTTCCTTCGCCTTCCTCTTCCGCTCCCCATTTCGCACTTACACTTCCCTCAAACCTTCGCCACTTCTACTGTAAATCCCTCCTTCTTCTCATCTGTATTTAGATTTTTGTAATTTGAAATATTGGATTTTCAAATTTTTTTCCCGAATGTTTCGGGCTTTGATTTCGTGATTGAGGAGTAATGCCCAGATGATAAATTCCTCTTCTTTCTTCTTCTTAGGAGCTCGATTTCGTTGATTTTTAGTGTTGTTTTGTTCATCGAAAGGAATATGTTTTTGACTTGTTACTGTTCTTTGGGCTAGTTCCTGATTGTGAAATTGTCTTTGTTTTTTTTTTTTTTTGTCTTGATAAGTAATACAACAAGGTACTCTGAGAGAACATACTGTCTTGGAGATCGAAAGGCTGTGAAGGGAATCACTACGGCTTCTAAGAAAGTTAAGAAGCCAAGTGATGCTCTCAGTGACAAAGATCTATCTCATTTGCTCTGGTGGAAAGAGGTATTTTTTGTTTTGTTTTCACAAGTGTTGATGATATAAGTGGACTGATATACTGATTTATCTTCGTTGAACGTCTTCTCAGAGGTTGCAGACATGTAAGAAACCATCTACACTTCAGCTTATCGAAAGGCTCATGTACACTAACTTGTTGGGTCTGGACCCTAGCCTGAGGAATGGAAGGTTAGTTCTCTTGAGGCTTCTATGATAAGCCCATCTCACTTTCTCGATGTCAGTCTTTAGTACTATTTGAGCTTGGCTATCAAATGACTCAGGAGACTAACATTCTTCCTTGATGTTGGGAATCAGAAAAATTTGTTAAGTCGAGTTGGGATATAGCCAAAATTAGTTCTCATCACTGTAGTCCAGTTTAGTTGCGGTAACTTTGTGGTGGCCTTTGTTTATGGAATATTTTGTTAATGGATCTCTTTTCATTTTCAGTCTAAAAGATGGAAACCTTAACTGGGAGATGCTGCAGTTTAAGTCAAGGTTCCCACGCGAGATTTTGCTATGCAGAGTATGTCGTTTTCTCTCTGATGTTGTCTTTGTAGTTAAATTTAAGCAAAGTGGGCATTTTCTGTAAACGATCTTGCTGTTTTATCCTTAGTCATGAGTGTTGCCATTGAATTCTCATAACATGAACCGTTTTGTTGCAATCGGTGTTTCTTTTTTCAGGTTGGAGACTTCTATGAGGCCATTGGCATAGATGCTTGTATACTCGTCGAGTATGCTGGTCTAAATCCGTTTGGTGGTCTTCGTTCGGATAGTGTTCCAAAGGCTGGCTGTCCCGTTGTGGTACAAAATCCTTCTTTATCTGTATCTTTAACTAGACAGACATCATAGTTTCTGAATCTCCTATTTTATGAAAGGATAGTTGTGGAAGCTTAGTCTGAAAATTGTAGTTGTGTTGAGGAAGAACTTGGGAAAATGACATAAGCCGCATCTTTAGTAGCCATTGCTTACACAAAACCACGTTGTTGGATACTAAAAGAAAGGTGGTGTAGATAAACCGGACCACTGCTGCATTTTATCATTCTTATTCTTTTCTTCAGATCTTGATTGTCTACAACAGTTGATTTTTCTTTTGTCACAAATTCATCTTTTCAGTCCAGTTTTAATTCTTCGGTTCTTTCTGCAGAATCTTCGACAGACTTTGGATGACCTAACACGGAACGGCTTTTCAGTGGTGAGTTGAGAAATCTTACCAATTTCTCATCCTTTAGCATGTTGAATAAGAACGATTCTATAAGACTATCATTGCTTGTTTTTCTTCACTGTAGTGTATTGTGGAGGAAGTACAGGGACCAACACCAGCTCGTTCTCGTAAAGGTCGATTTATTTCAGGGTATGTGATAAGTTATAATCCAAAAATCTCATTTCACAAGCAGAAAAACACAGTGAATTTTTTTCTCCCTTGAGATTTATCTTTGTGACATGTACTTGTATGTATTAAGGCATGCTCATCCAGGAAGTCCTTATGTATATGGTCTCGTTGGTGTTGACCACGATCTTGACTTTCCGGAGCCTATGCCTGTCGTTGGTAAGCATGTCCTTTGTCACGTTGCTAGTCACTGAAATATTACTATGTGTCTTAACTATAAACCTATAATGAAAATTTCATGTCTTCACTTGCTTACTTTTTTTTTTTTTTTTTTTTTTGGAATTACAGGGATATCTCGTTCAGCAAGGGGGTATTGCATGATATCTATCTTCGAAACTATGAAAGCATATTCTCTAGATGATGGTCTAACAGAAGAAGCCTTGGTCACAAAGCTCCGCACCCGTCGCTGTCATCATCTTTTCTTACATGCGTCATTGAGGCACAACGCATCAGGTTATTGCATATTCTCTACAATTCTACATTGCATTAGCTTTTCTGTGATGTTTTCAAGATTACACAAATAACAGGGCACAACGCATCAGATTTTGCATATTATCTATAATTCTACATTCTACGGACTTTCAGATAAGTAAATTGTTGAACTGTAGAAGATCTAGAAATCAGTTTGAAGTCTCAGGAGACTATTATAAACCAAATAATATCCATGATTTGTGTAAGCTTAGTTAACTTTTTTGAGCTTTATTGTATACAATTCTTGAAAACTTTATCGTGCAGGGACATGTCGGTGGGGAGAGTTTGGGGAAGGAGGTCTACTTTGGGGAGAATGCAGTGGCAGGAGTTTCGAATGGTTTGAAGGAGATGCTCTCTCCGAGCTCTTATCGAAGGTGATAACTACGGACTTTTGGATCCTGTTTAAATATGTAATTTACTTGACACAATTCAGTTTGGTGTAAAAAAACAACTATGTACTTGTAGGTCAAAGATGTTTATGGTCTTGATGATGAAGTTTCCTTTAGAAATGTCAACGTACCTTCAGAAAACCGGCCACGTCCGTTGCATCTTGGAACGGCTACACAAATCGGTTGGCATAGGTCACATTGTTTCACTAGGAAGTATAGGAGTTTTGGAACTGTAAAGCATGCTAACATATAATATTTGTGGTACTGTAGGGGCCTTACCTACTGAAGGAATACCTTGTTTGTTGAAGGTGTTACTTCCATCTACGTGCAGTGGCCTACCTTCTTTGTAAGCAATACTTAATTAGACAGAAAGGGGGAAATTAGTTATATTCTCGAAAGCATCATCTTTGAGTGGAAAAATCTGATTTCTTTCGATTCTTTCATTACTTTCAGGTATGTCCGGGATCTTCTTTTAAATCCCCCAGCTTATGATATTGCTCTGAAAATTCAAGGCAAGTTTGACAAACGTGGAGAGTTTTCTTAGTTTATTCCCTTTTGGGTTTGTTTTGATTTACGGCTTCTCATTCCTCCTGCCAAATTATTTGTTATTTGCAGAAACGTGCAAGCTCATGAGCACAATAACATGCTCGATTCCGGAGTTTACCTGTGTCTCTTCTGCTAAGGTTTAAGTCACTCGTTACAGAGCACTCTTCTGCATACTGATATCTTTTCTTTTCACCTGTAGAACTTTCATCTTTTAAAGTGGGGTTAAGAATTTACATTTGATGACTAGTCCATGGTCAGCTTCTAACATATATACATCTTTGTGCAGCTTGTGAAGCTTCTTGAACAACGGGAAGCCAACTACATTGAGTTCTGCCGGATAAAAAATGTGCTTGATGAAGTATTGCATATGCGTAGACATCCTGAACTTGTGGAGATCCTGAAGTTGTTGATGGAGCCTACCTGGGTGGCTACTGGTTTGAAGATTGACTTTGAAACTTTTGTAAGTTTATGCATTTTCGCATGAGTCTGAGTTTGTGTTTCTGTGCTTTGTTTTCATATCTATTTTCCTTGATGATGAGCACATATCCGTAGACACAATATCAGAGAATAAGCGTTTTACCAGTTTGCTAGTTTACTCAGCGGATGAATATGAATATAACTTGAAGTTTTCGGTTTCTTGCCAGGTCAGCGAATGTCATTGGGCTTCAGATTCAATCGGTGAAATGATCTCTCTAGATGAAGATGAAAGTCATCAGAACGTAAGTAGATGTGCTAATGTCCCGAACGAGTTCTTTTATGATATGGAGTCTTCATGGCGAGGTCGCGTTAAAGGAATACATATAGAGGAAGAAATCACTCAAGTGGAAAAATTAGCCGAGGCTTTATCTTTAGCAGTAAGTATTCAAGAACTGAACCTTGCTTCTTTTAATAATAGATGCTCTTGTAAATGGTAGAGGCTTTATCTTTAGCAGTAAGTATTCAAGAACTGAACCTTGCTTCTTTTAATAATAGATGCTCTTGTAAATGGTATTGTTTTTTTCTTGATCTTTTTTGAACCTCAAGAAACAATAAACCGGTGTAGGTAACCGAGGATTTTCACCCTATTGTATCAAGAATTAAGGCAATGGCTGCATCACTTGGTGGCGCGAAAGGCGAAATTGCGTATGCGAGAGAACACGAGTCGGTTTGGTTCAAAGGGAAACGGTTTACTCCATCTATATGGGGTGGTACTGCTGGGGAAGACCAAATCAAACAGCTGAAACCTGCTTTGGACTCGAAAGGGAAAAAGGTTGGAGAAGAATGGTTTACGACACAAAAGGTGGAAGCTGCTCTAGTCAGGTAAGGTTGTCTCTCCCTTTTTATATGTATGTTCTGTAAGAAATTTGTATTCAATAATACTGTCTAACGTATTGATATCATACTATGATTTTGTTGCAGATATCACGAAGCTAGCGAGAACGCAAATGCACGGGTGTTGGAGCTGTTGAGGGAGTTGTCTGCTAAGTTGCAAACAAAAATAAACGTTCTCGTTTTTGCATCTATGCTTCTCGTCATTGCAAAAGCATTATTTGCTCATGCTTGGTACGTTTTTTGCTTAAATCTATTCCCATTTAGAAAAGATTCATTTCTTGTAGTTTTTAATGTAAGTTCTGTATCACAACTGCTGCAGTGAAGGGAGAAGACGAAAGTGGATTTTTCCAACTCTTGTTGGATTCAATACAGATGAGGTAACTCTTTTTACTGGTCGTTGGTGTTTCTAGACAGATCTAGCTCAAGGCCTAGGTCTATTGTTGGGCTATCTGATTCTTATACCTCAGTTTGATCATGTAGGAGGCAAAAGCATTAGATGGTGGTGGTCGAATGAAGCTGACTGGTCTATCACCTTATTGGTTTGATGTAGCTTCCGGAACCGCTGTTCACAATACCGTTGACATGCAATCACTGTTTCTTCTTACCGGACCTAACGGTGGTGGTAAATCGAGCTTGCTCAGGTCGATTTGCGCTGCTGCTCTACTTGGAATCTGCGGTTTCATGGTTCCCGCTGAATCAGCTTTTATCCCTCACTTTGATTCCATCATGCTTCATATGAAATCTTATGACAGCCCAGTAGACGGGAAAAGCTCTTTCCAGGTAGAAATGTCGGAGATTCGATCTATTGTAAGCCAGGCTACTTCGAGAAGCTTAGTGCTTATAGACGAGATATGCAGAGGGACAGAGACAGCTAAAGGAACCTGTATCGCGGGTAGTGTGGTCGAGTGTCTTGACGCGAGTGGTTGTTTGGGTATTGTCTCTACACATCTCCATGGAATCTTCAGTTTGCCTCTTACAGCCAAAAACGTCACTTATAAAGCAATGGGAGCTGAAAACGTTGAAGGGAAGACAAAGCCGACTTGGAAACTGACAGATGGAGTCTGCAGAGAGAGTCTTGCGTTTGAAACAGCTAAGAGAGAAGGCGTTCCCGAGCCTATCATCCAGAGAGCAGAAGCTCTTTACCTCTCGGTTTACGCTAAAGACTCATCCTCTGGAGTTGCTAAACCCGAGAAAACCGAAACTTTATCAGAAAATGTCCAGAAGATCCGCACTGAGACAAGCCTAGAGAAGGACTTGGCAAAAACCATTCTTAGAATCTGTGGGAGAAAGATGATTGAGCCTGTAGCGTTAGAATGTCTTTGGATCGGTGCTCGAGAGCTTCCACCTCCATCTACAGTTGGTTCTTCATGCGTGTATGTGATGCTTAGACCAGATAAGAGATTATACATTGGACAGGTACGTACTTAGTAAACTTACCTTGGAATAGACAGAACACAAAAGTTTTTTTTTGACTCTTGAGAGGATATTATATGTTATGAAACTGCAGACGGATGATCTTGAAGGACGAATACGTGCGCATAGGGCAAAGGAAGGATTGCAAGGTTCAAGCTTTTTGTACCTTGTGGTGCAAGGTAAGAGCATTGCTTGTCAGCTAGAGACTCTTTTGATTAACCAGCTCCATGAACAAGGCTACTCTCTAGCTAACCTAGCCGATGGGAAGCATCGCAACTTTGGAACTTCCTCAAGCCTGACTACGTCAGATATAGTCAGTATCTCCTAGTTTCAAACATTAGCTTTCATTGTAACTGATCATCTTCTCTCTACAGATGGGTTTGTGCAATTGCACAAGTTTAGTTTGGCTAACATTAGAGTAGAAGTAGAGTAGACTAAAGAACGGAAAGAATGCGTGCCGTTTTTGCGTTTTTTTTTTTTTGGGGGGATATTTTGCAAACGGCATGCAGTTCTGGCAAGCGGATGCAGCAATACACCAAGTCACCAACAATAATATAAACAGGACTAGTAAACCTAATCTTGTACCCGCTCTTTCTCTTTGTTTAGCTGAATTTCACAAAGGCTTAATGATGGTTAATGTCGTTTTATAAGATCTTGCATTTGATGTCGACAATTATCCGAAAGAAATGGAGGAATGAGAATGTCTCATTATATAAAAGCCAAATGTCTCATTATATAAAAGCCAAAAAAAAGAAGCTCATTGACAATTTACAAACAAGTGCACATCATCAATTACATTTTTTTTTGTAATCATATTATTTTTTAGGGTTTATATCATTGTATAGGTCCTCTTTTTCAGCCTATATATCGTTCAGTCGTGGTTGCATCAAACAGTAGTTGTGATTGTTTTACTTTGTTTGTTCTTTAATAATTTGATTATCTATTTATATTCACTCTATTAGTTTTGAGTCTGAAAGTACCATGACTAATCAATGGACTTGTCCTTGGAGATTCTATGTCCTAATCGCCTTCTCTGATTACAACTTCAACATAGGTATGTTTTGTGGAACAAATCTTTGGACCTATGTTTATTTTTATAAATTAGGTTATAGGTTTTTTTCCGTCAATTCGAACACTTGTAGGATAATTTATTTATTGTTTGTTAGCTGCTAAGCCAGTGTGCATTATACGAGAATTGGATGGCGCATCAGCTGAGTTTCGCATATAATGATTGTTTAGAAGCAATGTTATGTTTAAATATTTACCTTGTATGCATGTATTTGTTGCATTTTCCTGTTTCCAATTTTAATTTATTTGATTTTCATATTCTTTTTTTTTAAAGTTATTAATCATGTTTTATTTATTTGTCTTCCAGTCTTGAGGCAGTTGTGCGTGTGTTCGTTTTTGGATGAAATTCCATAACTGATGTAGGGAGATCACGTCATAAGATGGGTGTTTTTATATGATTTGTTTTTTTTTCATGTGAAGTTCGATTGGTTTTACTGTCTTTTGTGGTTCTAGATTGGAATTGCTAGCATAAAGCGGTTGAGTATGACCGTAAGCTGTTGAATTGCTTACCAGATGCTACAAAGCTAATAAAAAGCATATCGGAGCCAAAAATGGCTCAGAACTTTCAAATGTAGAAACCATTTTTGCGAATAGCTACTCATAAATAAAAAACATAACTTAGCCAAAAACTCTGAAATGTCTTCAAATTGCGAATAGCTTACTCATCGGTTACAATACACTTTTTCTGCAATATTTCGGTTCAAGTATACCTGTCAATGAATGGACGATCCTCGTTGATAATTTTTCTGATATGTTTCACATGCTCTGTTAATCATTGTTTAAACTTTAAATGCTTAAGTTTTTTATACTTAACTTTGTGATTGTGTCAAACCCCTTTTTTCTTCTTTAAAAAAATAACTTTGTGATTGTGTCCTTTTTAGGGATCGGAAATATAGAGAGAAATAACTGATAGTGTTCATAAGCAAAAATTATAAAAGGTGATTCCGATTTATTTTAGTGTTTGTATTTTAGTTTAAAATGATCTAATAATTAGGAATAAAATCTCACATAGGAAGTTAGAAAGGATCATAACTAATATATAAAGAGCATGGAGAAATCCACTCGTTACCAATTAGTTTTGGATTAGAAAAAACTAATCTGTTTTTAATTTTAGTAACACGGTTTATAAATTTTATATCTAATTTATTATGTATTTTTAATATACCAATAGAAAGGAATTCAGACATGGTGAAGAAAAGAATCACCAATCCACTCTTTATCCATTTTATGGATCTTTCTTCATAAGGAATCGTTAAGTTGGCCTTTTCTCTCAGTTAACACAAATCCAAGACATGTGGATGAATATTAAAATCTCCATTCTTAATTTTCCGCTTTCTTTTTATCTTTATTTTTGTTCTGATCTTCGACTGTAGATTTGGTTTATGTTTGCTTATTAGAGGGGTAATTTGCAAATCTGTTCTTCCGATCTTCAATTGTTTTAAGATTATTGGGTTTGTTTGTTTTTATGTACATCAAATCTCTAAGTTGAGTTTGTTACTTGTGCCTCATGGGGACAAGGACTTCCGGATATGGGCGAAGTGCGGTTGATCGGTAGCATGGAAAAGCAAGAAACTCAGCCACTCCAAGCTTATGATGTGGTAAGTGATCTCTCAGTGGAAGGGAAAGAAAATCTATGAGATAAGCAAAATCCAAAGAAGAAAGCAAAAAATTCCTATCGGCCGAAGGAAGTATTGACTCATCTGGGTAATACTATTTTAACATGTGATAAATGAACAATATTATTTTTGTTTGATCCTTCTAGCATAAAACGTACAAGAGATATGCATTTAAAAGGGTACAAAACTTCAGGAGAAAAAGGAAGAAATATTTTTGAGAAGCAGAGGCGTTTGTATAGTTGTGTCTTCTCCGATTTGAGAAAAGGGCATAATGTGTATGATACCAACAAATCCTTAAGATTTATGTTCTTTTAGGCTGAAAGGGATTTTTGATGTGCTATTTTTTCCTTAGATATTGTATTATACAGTTAATCATGATATATGAGAGTAACTTGAATATCTACTTCAAGAGAGGAAAAGTAGAAGATGACACTAATGCGGAATATGCTGCGATCAAAGAGTTTGCAAGCCTCTTTGTGGGGATAACAGTGAATGAATATGAGACATGGGAAACCTCCAAAGTTTGGTCCCAATTGATATAATATAAACATTGCATCTTGTGACTCAAAACACATCTTTCGTTTCTTGATATATTGGGTGATTGGTGTGTATTTTTCTAATGTGATATGAATTATGCTTGATGATGGAATTTTAGTGAGAAGTGCATGGTTTAATGCAGCTCAATGTTTTTGCTGCTCATTGCAACTTCGAATATAAGCTAAGAGTACGGTACAGTGGTGTGAGTTTCAAAGATCATGAAGTCGCAACTACACTTTCTTTAAACCCTATTGATCATGATAATGTTTCTTCTGTGATTGCATTTGTTTTTTTTCTACTGTCAGTAAAGTTACGTGTTTCTAAAGTAATAGATTTGTTTTGTTCACACAGAAAATTATGAGATAGATGTTCAAGCAACAATTGAAAATACGATGAGAAATAAGATTAAAAAACATTTAGTTGTATGTATGTTTTCTGGCTAAGACGTTGCTATTATATGGAATCATTTACCAATATGTGACTTATGTTATTTATAATAATTTTACCAAGTATATTTAATTTTGCAAGTATGCCATTGTAAGTATGCATGGCAGATTCTATCCTGCTCATTACCATATAATCGCTGTAATGAAACATTATTTGACATATGACTGGAAACTCATAGAGAGAACTTACTAAGTTTTGACAAGCTAATTATTAGAGATGGATTTTGTACCCTCTCTAAAAGTCTTACATCAATTGAGATAGACCCACTTCAAAATCCTAAAGAATATTTAGGTCGGCGAGATAAATGGAACCTTTGATTTATCTAATTAACTTCCAGAAAAGATGGAAGGTCGGCTTTATCAAAACGACATGAGAGAGGAAGCTAGTAATGCACACGACCCGGTCAGTTAAATGATGGCCATGACGAGAGAAGAGTTTCAAGCCTTTAGGCAAGAAGTGGGGGAACGCCTCACTCGTATAGAGCAAACACCTCGCACTCCCTTACGACCCGTGAGGAACGTTGGAGGTCTTGGCAATACAAACATTCATGGAAACACCCAAAGACACAATGGTATTCACATCAATGAGCCCGTGAATGGAGGACAAAGATGTGATGATGATTCTCATGAAAATGAGGATGACCCACCTCCTAGGACGAATCGTGTATGAAGAAGATGAGTACAAAGAGAGGAGTATGAAGAGGACGAGCCATACAACCCTAACCCGAGGCAAAACCAAGGGAATATCAAACTAACCGCGCCAAGCCAGTAAAGTTGATCCCGAGGCATATCTTGAGTGGGAGAAGAGAATGGATCATATTTTCGACTACTACAATCATCCTGGTCCTAAGAGAATAGCACTAGCCGTAGGTCAGCTTACAGACAATGCCCTCATTTGGTGGGAAAGGGTGACAGCCGATAGAAGGAGAAACCGCCAAAGGACTATTGAATCATGGGTGGACATGATAGATTTCATGCGATAAAGGTATATCCCTCCTCATTTCAATAGAGATTTACAACGCAAGTTTCGTTCTCTTAAACAGGGAACTAGATCAGTGGAGGAATATTATGAGGAATTTGAGCGTCTAAGGAACCGCCTGGAGCTTTACGACGATGAGGAAGCCTTGATGGCTCAGTTCTTAGATGGCTTACAAGAGAGAATCAGCCGTAAGGTGGAGAAGCAAGTATATCAAGACTTCAAAGACCTTTTTCACCTATCTATACAAGCTGAACAGAAATAAAGAGGAAAACGGTGAACACTAGGAGCAAACCTCAAATCCCTTGGGATTCAAACCTCAACAAACCGATGGATAAAGGCAAAGGCATTGAGATAGACTTGCGGTACAAGGGTAAAGTTTCAGACAATCTCAAAGACAACCGAATAGAGCCAAGTAAGCTTATAAACCCTCAACGTTTTAGAGATATTATTATATGAATATACATACATATTATTTTCTATACACTAAAATTTTGTATTTATACAAAAATTAGCATCCAAATTTTTTTTCATAAATTTGTTTATGATTATAAAACATAATTTGTTTATGATTATAAAACATAGTAGTTGTTAGCAGGGTATTTTTTAGTATTCTTATCTTAGGAAGCATACTAAAAATAAATAAAAATAAATAAAAATAAATATGATGGAAACGAAAGAGGAGGAAAGAAAAGAGTAGATAAAATTTTATACCAAGCTATATATGAGTCTTTCACATCCTCTTTTTTATATTTCATTAATTCAATTTCGTTTTATTAAGACTTAATTCCGTAAAAATCCCGGCCTTCTTTGAAATATCATGAACTGTTCTTGTTGGTTGAGCGCCTTTTTTATATAACATGTTTTAAATGCAGAAGAAGAGGACATATGGCGAGAGAATGCCCAATCAAAGAGTCATGCTCTTAACCGAAACCGGCGACTATGAATCCCATGATGAAGCTGATATTGAGTAGAATGATGAATTTGGTGACACTGAATATCTTGACTCCGGGGAACTCCTTGTCATGAGGCGTGTACTTAGCACCATGGTAGAACCAACCGAGATCATTCAAAGA